TATATATAAGAGAACCTCTGCCAAGAGTATCAATTCACATGTAAAAAAGCTTTAAATTGGACGGCCACTATCTCCATTAAAAGGTTAATGATGCAGGAGGCTTAAAGAGATTTACAGGATTCTTAAGAACTAACACACTTAGAAAAGGATATTACAGGACCTTTTCTGGGGAAATTTTATCACTATTATCACCTTGTTTTGCATGGACAATAGAATAATTAACTTATTCAAAAGTTAGTATCCGTTGCCAATCTCATATCAGAAGTATGGGAATTATCTAAACATTATTTCAGTTTTCACTTATGGACAAGGTGTAATGAAAAATAGAAATCAACTTTAAATAAAATGATTTATTCCCCTTTATTTCTAGCAAAGCAGTAGGATCTGGGAAGAAACTCCACTTCCAGTTGAAACTTGTACCACAAAAATTCACTTGAAGCACTGCACCCAGTGCCTTTTAAAGCTCTTAAAGGGTCCTTTGGTTACTGCATTAACAGGACAATGCAAAAGAAAAGCATGGATTTTCAAAAGTATGGCGTTTAGTTTAAAAAAAAAAAGAAATGCAATGTATGTTTTCAATGTTTTAGAAACTCGACTGATTTGCTAATATCCAAATACTTGACACAAGTTGTCACCGTTCGCACCCATCGCCGCCGCCATCGCCCATGACCTGCCACTGCCGTGATAGATCGCTACCACCTTGAATTCATTTTACTTCAAAACATTAATAAAAAAGTATTCTCCAATAACAATTTTACACCAAACCAAATAACTCTTAGAATATTCAAAATACATTATATTTCAATTACATCAAATTTCTTTTATTTTGCTTTTTTTTGAGAAAATAAGCCAGAACCAAAATTCATTTCTAATCTGCGTTGCTTAGGGTCTCATCTTCATCCTTGAGAGTACATTTGGAATCGCTTTTCATCTTTTTGCTTTTTAAATTTCAATTTTTATTTGTTTAGTTTGTGCTTTTAATTAAAATAAAATATATTTCATATATTATAACAAAGCAAAATGCCGAAATAGTCCTTGATCATTTACATGGAACTGTTTTAATCCCGAGTTTGTAGAAGTGCAAAATAGTCCCCGAACTCTTTAAATTGGAGTTAAAATAGTCCCCATGGAAAACTATTAAAGCTCAATTTTAAAATTTTCATAAACTATTTTGATAATTTTATAAAGTCTAGTAATAAAACAACCTTCTGTAAATAATCAGAAACTATTTTGACACTTTAATGTTACAGCATATGTATTTATTTTTAAAAACAATCAAAAGAATTTTAAGTGCTTCCAACGTCTTTAAAAACTAGTTAATCAGTTTTTTAAAATAAAAAATAACATATTAATATATATATATATATATATATATATATATATATATGTATGTATATATATATATATATACTAAACAAACATGTTTTTAAAATAAAAGCAAAAATGATAATTTGGATGAAAATTTGGTCCTAGCTAAATTTGGATAAGCTGGGGATTAGTGGTTACGAGATTGGTAGATTTTTTTAAGAAAAAAGGAAGGCCAAAATACATGATTCGGTTAAAAGTATCGAATGAGGATTAATGGGCACAAAAGGAGACTGGAGAAAGTAAAATAGATCTATGGAATGACAAGACAAAGAACTCGTTCAGCCAAAGCTAGAGGTTCATAATGCTGCATATTGGATAAGTGGTGATGAAGCCAAGAATTTTTTTTAGCATGGGCACAAATAATGATTTCAAAAATTCCATCAAGTTTGTTTAAACTATGTATTACACTCTAACAGCATTATTTGCAATTGATGTTCACTTCATTTGAACCAAATAATTGCTTTACATATTCAATAAATTGGCGGCATTTAGCTAAAAATCTAATTAAACATGCTTCTAATGTAGCAAGTGGTTCAAAAAATCACTAAAATTTACTTGAAGTTTAAATGTATAGCATTAAATAATAAATCGATTTTAAATTCTAACAAGTACCAACAAGCTCGTAATCTAAAAAGTCAATGAAAAAGTTAAAGAAAATTCAAAATAATCAAATCTGGATAACGCAAGCTATAGGTTGGCAAATATTGATAATCGAGGCGAGCGCAACAGCAACAAATGTCAAGCCGTTAATGGCAATAAAGACGTGGTTGTCATTTGATGTAACAATAATCCTTGCTCTCTCTGTGGTGTTGAATTCGACTGAAGATATGGTTGAAGGCATTGCCCTTGGAACACACACTGCATCAATCAAAAATTAAAAAAAAAGAATTTCTTGTTTACAATTATATAATTTTTTTTCCTTATTATTACATTTTTATATTTACACATTTATAAGGATCCTTAATATTGAATTAGAATGTATTTAAGCTAATCCTAACAACCAGTCCATTTGGAACATTAAAAACTCGGGATTTACCGAATCCATGTTTAAAACAATAGTCATTTTACATAAGAAAGCATTAAATAATAACCGAATTCTGACAGATTCCGGCTCCCCACTTCCTCTCTGTCCTGCTCCCCACTTCCTCTCTGTAATCTTTCGGTTTTGCCTAATGGGAAATGCTAAACTGCCCAGATTCCTTTCCAGAAATCTCTTTGTTCTCTATATACGATCTGTGTACACATGAAGACTTTTGATGAATCAAGTTTATCTTTCAACCATTTCTGTTTATTTAGTCTTGCCTGTCTTCTTGGTATCAAAGCAAGACTCTACGATTATGTGCTTGAGGTCTTCAAGGTGCTTTCTAGACATTGTACAAGAGGGCTTCTCTGTCCATCTCTCTGCTAAAATGGAGGATTCAGCAACCTCCAATCTACTATCATCCGCCCTACCAAACATCAATGTTCAGACCTTAAAATTTCTGATCTCTCACATGATAGCTGAAAACTATTCTATTTGGAGAGCCCAAATTATGAAGATCTTTAAAGCCAACGAGTTTCTTTGATTCCTGGACGGCTCTCTCGCCTGTCCACCGCAGTACATTTCAGAGCACACCAACCCTGCGGTGTCCCCAGTCCTCAATTTGCAGCGTGGATTCATGCTGATCAAAATTTATCAGCAGCTCTCTCCTCTACAATTCAGCGGCAATACTTCCATATGTTCTTCACCTCCAAACCTCAGCAGACATTTAGAATACCATCAAGAGGAGGCATCAACCCACAAACAGGGCCAGGGTGATTCAATTGAAAAACGAGCTTCATCACATCACGATGAAGAACAACACGCTAACTGAATACCTCTCAAAAACCAATGCACTCGTGGACAACATTTCAGCTGCCAGAGTTCATATTGACCAAGTTGATGTGATCCTTTACATCCTCAATGGCCTATCGCCCGCTTATCAATCCTTTAAAACCACCATTCGCATTCACTTCCAGCCCACCAACTTGGATGATTTATGATCGCTGCAATACAGTACAGAGAACAATATTGCTACTGAAAACAATAAGCAAACATTACAAATGATCTATAACTAGCACTCATTTCTTCCAAGAGGTGCACAAATTTCTACTTCAAGGGAAAGGGTTGCGGCAACACCTCCAGCAGTAAAGAAGGAATATAGGGTGGTAGATTTACTCCAAGATCCACAACTGTCAAATCTGTAACAAAGTGGGTCACTCCATCGTAATGTGTTGGCATCGGACTAACCTGGAATAAACTCCCCGTACATCTACTAAAGCTCTCACCGCTCACCTAAATGATTGGGTTTCAGTTTCCGGTGCTACTGCTCATCTGACATTAGATCTTACTTAGCGCCATGATCCGAAACTTTCTTTTGGAAACAAACAAATCATCATGGAAGATGGTCAAGCTGTTCCAGTTCAGTTGATGGGTGATGGTCTCCTTCCTGCACTCTACCGTAGTGCTTCGTTTATCCCATATCAGATACACACCTTTCTTATCCCATAATCTCATCTCTAATCATAAATTAATCAAGGATAACAAAGTTAATGTATCATTTAACCCCTCTAGCTTTTCCATCATGATCCACAAACCAATTGAGTCCTTCTTCAAGGCACTAGCTCTCATGGGCTCTATTCCATTCTGGCCTTCTCTACACTCCAAAAATCAGCCACCTCAAACCTCTGGCATGAGCATTTGGGGCAACCACAACAAGAAATCCTCAGAACCATCTCCAAAGCACAAAATCTAAATATCTCTTCTATTTCACCTATATGTAATATTTGTCATGTTACCAGGTCAAATTGACAGTCTTTTCATCCTATTATGAAGTATTATCTCTACCTATGGCTATAAATATTACATCTCCTTTGTTGATGATGCATTCCGTTGTTGTTGGGTCTATCCCATGACTACTAAATCTGAAATGACACTTAAACTTAAAAATCTTATAACAATGCTTCAAACCCATTTCAGCACATAAGTTAAAATTTTGAGAATGGATGGTGGTGGAGAGTACAAAGGTATTGAATTAGAGAATTTTTCACACAATCATGACACCATTCACCAATACTCTTGCCCAGACACTCCTGAACAAAATGAGACATTTAATTGAAACAACTCCGGTTCTACTACATGAAGCTAAACTACCTTACACATTTTGGGTAAATACCCATCTCACCGCTACATACCTCATTAACAGAATGCCTGCCAAAGTCACAAAACAAATTTCACCACATCAACATCTATATGGGATAGGTCCATAGCATACTGTCGGCCGTTTTTTTTTAACCTTCGTGATTTGAAAAAGTAATGATTTTGTAATTTTGAAAATAATTTAAATATGAATATAATCTTTTTTTTTTATTATTTTTAAAAGTGATATTTTAATTTTAAAATAGGTGAGATCAAACGGGTCTCACATTTTAAATAGTTTAAATAATTGAATATAATACTACAAATAATACACTTATCCCGAAGAATAAATATATCACTTTTAATAGGAGTTCAATCACTTAGACTAATAAAATTTGTGACATCCATTTTGGTCTGCGAAATATTTTTATAAAAAGGCCAACAAGTTCCCCTATCTAACATAAAAAAAATTAGATATGGTTTAGTTTATCTGGATTCCTGGTTCCCTATAGAGGCAAGCCCCTATAGTTAATTACATCTTAAATGATCGAAATCACTTAAGAAAACTTTCGATTAAGATCAGGTGGTTTTGCTTTCAAGATTTCAAATTTTAGGTTTTCATGATTGGACATGGGAAAATCAAATAGAAATGGCTCAAAATAGGAACAATTATTTAAGGAATCCAAAGGGAAGAAAATTTTGGGATATCACAGATCCAGGAGAAACCCCAGAGATATCTCAACTATCCTATTGTTCGGCTTTATGTCTTTTGAAATGATGTAATTTGATATTTCAATCCTGCAAATTATTTATGACTTAAGACTTATGTTTACACAATATCGGACTGTGCAAATAGTCTAAAAAGATAGAAGGATTTACACTGTACCGCACGATAACCTCGGAATCCTAAAGCGTTAGAACTTATAATTGTACAACAGAGTTATACAAAAAGCCTAAAGAGTGATCATATGGGTTGTTATTTAAACTAAAGAAGGTAATAGTTGATGTGAATGTGTTTATATGAAGTGTTTTGATGTTTTGCTGCTGCAGGTCCACCTTGAAGTTGTTCCTCGTCGTGTTGTCCACGATATTCGCTCCAAACTTTTTGTCGTGACGAGTTTAAGTTTTCTAGGGTGTCCAGTTACGATGTTAAATCAAACGACCCTATGGTTGCAGTCCTCTAAATGTTTTATATAGTAGAATGTATGCTTAAAGTTATATAATATAAAATGTGCAATACAGGACAAACAGTAGGATGCACGTAGAACAGTAGCAGATAGAAACAAGAATAGTATAACAAGAATAGTATGAAACAAGAATAGTATAACATATTGTACGGTACAGTAGCAGGCAAAAACAGGAATATTATAACATGTTCATGAAGAACAGTAGCACATAAAAAAAAACATGAATAATATAACATGCTATACAGGAAGAACAGTAGCAGGTAGAAACAGAAATAGCATAACATGCTATACAGGAAGAACAGTAGCAGACAGAGGGAAATGAAGTGCTGTAAATGTAAAACAAGCCTGTAAGAAAGAACAGTAACAGACAGAAACAGAAACAGTATAACATGTTGTACAGAAAGAACGGTAGCAGGTAGAAACAGAAAAAATGAAGCGCTGTAAAATGTAAAGCAAACATGTACGCCCGTGAGATCCGTTGTTCCTTAAGTATAGCAAGTCTAAATGCATCACAAAAAGCCAAGTCTGAAAGAAACGTCGTCCAGGAAATCCGAAGAAAAGTGTAATAACTCATGACGGAAAACTCGAGAAAATCAACGAGAAAAGACTCAAGTAAAAGAAAAGAAAAATAATCCACAAAAATCTTGGAGAAATCCCGAAAGAAAGGAAAAGTAACACGAGTGCCCTATTCCAAAACTTTGATAAAACAAAAAAATCTCGAGTGAGGGGGACCGCAAGCACTCGTATGGGGCTAGGCTCAGATATATATTTATACTCGAGGGTCTGCGAAGGCTACTCGGTCACCCGAATGTATGGAACCCGTCACTCATCTAGAAGTGTGACTTGAACCTCACTTAGGGGGCTATTTCCCAACCTAAACAAGTATTCGTCACGTGGACAATCAACTTTAAAGTATGTTTTATGAGTATGTTTTATATACAAATTCTAAACATGCAAAGAAGAGTTTTCAATTTTTGTTTCGTAGAAAAGTATATTTTTGTTTCGTAGAAAAGTATGTAGAAAAGTATATTTTTGTTTGAAAAGGGTTTGTCAAAACTTATATTTTCTTTTTTAGAAATTTTCATTATCCACGAGTCGATTACATTGTCGGGCGTGGGAATGCCAACAACCTGAGGAGATTCGAGCCAACTCCCGCTAGACTTATGCCGGTGAAGGATACTGTTATCCTATTTTTCATCAAATGTCTGGATCTTGATGTTATAGGATTGGGCATCTTTCTGCTCTATCTTCGGTGTGCATTTATCATCAACACCGTACGCCCCAAAACGACTACTTGCGACCTTGCTTGATGGTTTTAAGTATAACAAAAGGCTATACATAGACACTTATGCATCGGACATAAGCATCAAAAAGCAAACCAAGAAGCAAGGAAAAGAAAAGAACAAAAATGGGGTGAGAGAGAGGAGAAGACAATCCACCTAACACGATTCCAGAAAGGAGATGAGTTCCTTCTCAATATCAAAGAAAATTAGAACACATGTCAAAACAGGTAA